GTTTTAGGAATACAACTTATATTTTTTTTTAAACACATTTCTTAACCACTCATTCACGTTAAGTCAAGTAATATTCTCACTTGATTTAACTAGTGATGATATATTTATTAAACAAATATTTAGAATCTAGTTAGGTTAAGCAACTATATTACAATATAAAAAAAAAATTTTATAAAATTAAATATAAAAAAAATAAATTTAACTTTTATATAGGCACAAACTCTTATAAGCACCAAATTCTTAAAACCAAAGGTGTGATTATAGAAAGGTTTGACTATATATAATTTTAAAATAGTGTCCTCTACCTTAAACTTTATATAATTGTTATATTAAATTTTTTAATTTTATTGGTTAAATTATTAAATATAAAAATTTTATTGATATTTTTATACGTATAATTTAAATATTTTGTAAATAAATACAATATTGGTCTACCGACCATATTTGGGTGATTATTTTTGAACCCAGACCAACTTTATATATGACGTAATAACACTTTGGTCTAGATTCAAAAATAATTGCCCATTTATTTAAACAGATTTGACTGTACATAGCTAATTTTTCAACTACCGATTTTGATCACCGGTTAAATAAAAACCCCAGATTTCCCAACGTTTAATCCCTCTACAATATTAATTTACTGTATATCGTATATCTAAAAGTAGATTATTAATTTCATAATAATCTATTTTTAGATATACGGGTTATTTGGCAGCACTCATATACGTATAAAATATATAAATCGATATGTAAAAATAAATATTGTCGCGGCTGATACTGAGATTTAGAATCTCTATTGGAATTCACATATACTCTTATTAATAATTATAACCTATTCTAACCTTCCACAGGTAGAACAATAAACCTTTTTCATAAGTATTCTTTCAAAACCTTTGGTGTGTCTGCAACTTTTCCAGTTCTTTCCGCATCTCTTTCATATGTAACTTAAAAAGGTTGAAAATGCTTGGAAGATATTTAGAAAGGTTGCACGTTACACCAAAGATTTTGAAAGAATACTTGTCGAAAAGGTTTATTGTTCTACATGTGTTAAACCCTAATCTGAATCTAAAAGACCATACGTATTAAATTTTTTTGAAAACAGGTTAAATTCTGTGTATCAGCCAAACTCAGCCGTAATAGGTATTTTTGGTAGGTTTATTTTTAAAACCAGCCTTGACATGAAAAATATAAAATCCGGATCCAAGCCTTAGGGCGAACTTGTGCGATTAAACATTTCCAAATGTTTAATTTATTTACAATACAGCAATATAACAATGTACTTATCGTTATGTGCATAATAATTTAACATGTGAAATTATAGATCATCGATGATCTTTCACAATCTTTATTTAGATTTTTTTTGGCATGTCCGCCTCGACAATCGTCAATACCGCACCCCCTAAGTGCAAATACTATGTAAAACCTGATACGGTTTGGCTCCAACTTATAAGAGCCCTATATATTTTATTCTCTATAAGTGCAACCCCCACTAAGTGCAAAATTTTAATTTTTTCACTATGGTCGCACTTAGGGAGGTGCGATTGTAATTTGAAGATTTCAGCGAGCTGGCCTAAAAATTTCGGTATACAGCATATACGTTATATCTACGTATATCTACGTATAACATAATAGGCTTGACAAATATTAAATTCTATTATAGACCTATTTTAAGTCAGAATTTTTAATAGCCAGCAGACACATTATATTAAATTCGCTATATGTATTAGCGTTAGCGATTAACAAAATTAGTAAGTGGCAAGCAAAAAATGTCCCTACTTTTTTATTATTGAATCCGTTATGGCCGTTCGAAATTTCTTATTAAAAATTCGGCACTTTAAATTTAATTCGTTAAACCGGTGAATATAGTGTAAGGGTACCCGTCATATCGATAGTTGACAAAAATCATATTCAATTCTACTTGCTGAAATTATGCTATTGAGAAAGACCACGGATGGTAAAGAAATTTCAACCAATAAAAAAAAAAAAGGACAATAAATAAATATAAAATAATAAAAAACAATCCAATAATAAGCGGAAAAGGCTTTTATTCTTGTTTTTCTTCAAGTGTTGAGGCGCATGAAAATATTAGTATGTGTGTAATTATTGATTATTAAAATATCAGGCATGTGTTACAATTTTAATAAGTGTTGAAGTTCAGACTGACCAGAACAGACTATTATATCTTTATTGCCGAGTTTATGCGATCAATACGAAGCTTATAAGAATATTCAAATAGATTTTATGCAATAATTCAATAAAAATTTTTTTTTAATTTCAATAAAAGGCCATTATATTGCATGTTAATGTATATTATCTAATAACTGATGTATAAAAAAGTTGCAACATACAAGATTGCATTAAATACGTACGTACGGTCGAGCCTCAAATGCACGTATACCTTTAAAATTCGGTCTAACATGCTTTTTTCGGATATACATATATATACAAAATTAAGAAAATCGAAAGAATATCGATTTTTTAAGAAATAATGGACAATCCTCTAAACAGACAATTAAAAAGATTACCTTCTTGAGGCTGTTCTTCATTTTAATTAAAATGAGCTACAAAATATGCTCATATTTTGAAACTGTTCATTCTTGAACACTTGTCATATAAGTAACTTAGAGTGCAGTATTCATACTGATCATACTAATGTATAATAGTATGAACTGTATTTTTGCATAAGTTTGATAGGCGTTATTACCAATTGCTACTTACATAAATTGAACATTTAACTGCAAATTGGAATGTTTTGTAAACTTAAGTTCAAAAACTTGTCATTCACCTATTATTGGGTTTTAGAAAATTTAAGAAACACATTAACGGTGAATTATGATTATCAAAATCAGACATAAGCGTGATGGTAAGCAGGTTGCTCGTAAAATTGAAATAAGTGAGAATGTTAGTTTAGAAGAGCTGGAACAAAAGGTAGACATGAAATTTTACAATTTTTCGCAAATTGTTATAAATTGTTACAATATAAATTGACTAAATTACTCCTCGTCGATCAGTTACGCGAACGCTTCGACATAAAGTACGACCAGCGTGTAGAGCTTTACTATCTGGACGAAGAAAATGACCGTATCGTAGTATCCTTTGAAGATGAATTGGCTTTAATTCTTGCATCTCAAGAATCCCCATTATTCGAGATGATTGTTAAGCCGAAAGTAAATAAGTGAAAATATAAAAGCTATATCTGTTGTAAATGGGAATTTAAATGTATTTGGAATTATTGGAATTTTAGGGTTAAGTTGTAGGTTTATATACCCTAAAATTGTTATTTTTATTAAAAAATTCCAAATCTACTTTCCACTTTAAACATATATATTCAAGCAGCTTTTTCTTTTGTTAACCTTGGTTTTTTTTCATTTAAGGTAGTAGACAACTTTTATACTTATCCGAAGGTCTCAAAATCAAAGCCTGGTGAAGTAGCTGAAATAATGGTCCCATCAAAATGGCTCACCACTGCCAGCATTATTCGGAAAGACACAAAACTTTGGGGCACATGGATTTTTACTGATGATTCTGACATTATCAAAGGTATTTTATTGAAAAAATACATTTTGCTTGTTTTCAATATCTGAATTTTCTTATTTTCTTGTAGCATTGGTTCATTTGGGAAAACTCGAATTAACTGAAAATACGCCAGAATACAATTTGATTGTCACGCTTCGATACTTGCCCGGATGTTTGAAATATATTGGGTCGACAAATGAAGAAGTTACCTCCGAAGATTTTGAACCTCATGACACCAGCTATGTTATTGAATCATTTAGAATGGCAGCACTGGCTTGAAGATTAGTATGAAATAGAATTTATCCATAGTTTTTATTATAATAAAGCTAATAAATTGTTATAAATTTTGAATATGGTATAAAGAGATTCAATCTGAATCCGAAACATATTAACTTTTTCATATATAATAAACTAATATTCCAAAAAAAAAAATCTTTCGCAAAAATTTTATTTTTTGCTGTTCGCTTTCTGTTAAAACGCTTGTATTATAATAATAATATTAAATAAACTTAGTATACTCTTTTCCTAATTGCTATTATAATAGCTCAAATATTATTCAAATTTGCAATTATCAAGTATATCATGTTAGTATCAATTGTAATGGAACAGGAACTTTTAATAATTTTGATTTTTTATTTTAAATATTTAAACTCAACATAAGATATTACCAATTGCTTTCACTGAAATAAACTCTAAAATTATTGGTAAAAATTGCTTTTACAAACAATTGAAACAATTAAGCCTTTTTATACTATATTATGTATAAAAGTTTACGCTAAGCATAAACAAAATTAGCAGTATGCAATCATAAGCATATGTACGTAATGAAATTTGAAGGCTTATATTTGCAGCAACTTTATTGTTATGCATTAGCGTTAATAAAAAATTTAAGATTGGTGTTTTTTTTCTACTCTTAGAGTTCCGCATGAGCTAAACTATACATGAATTAGTCCTATATGTAATGTGCTTGGATACTAATATAGATCTTTGCATTGGACCTGTTTCAAAAATTCGTACGTATTATTGTGGAGTTGGATTAAAAAATATTCAGACCAGATCCAAAAATAGGGATTATGCAAACTTCTAACAAGGATCTCAATAACTATTTGATTAAATTTAGTAATTTAAATTCTTACATTCGTAAAATTAAATTTTAAAAAAATTTCTTGAATTTGGTTTAGTGGTTATCAAGGAATCTTTACTAAAAGTTTTAAAAAAAATGATTTACATATTTAAAAAAAACTGAAATTGAGTAATTTTTTAATAAATAAAGTTATTTTTTAATTTTATTTTGCAAGTTTGTAGAATAAAAAAAATTTTTTTCAAATTTGATAGGTAATTATTTAATTCTTTTCTTGAACAAAAGTGGAGGTTAACAAAGACTATATGTAATTCTTTTTGTAAGTTCTACATTATATAGTAATCTTTCATGTTTTTAATAATTCTAACAAAAGTTTTATTATAATAATTTTTAGAAAAACTTTTTAGTTTGAATACAAACTAAAAAAAAGTTTATTATAAATAAATAGGATCTTTGTTAGCAAAATGACTCTACAAGCCATTGTTATACAAGAATTATATTAAGAAAATTATAATAAATCTATTTTATAAAAAAATTGCTAGCAAAAATTCCGAATACTTAACTTTTCTTTAAACTATCTAAGTACATTTACTTTTTAATGTTTTATATTTTTGGTTTTATCAAAACAGCTTATTTCATCTAGAACCAAAAGTATTCTTTTTTTGTATTTTATTATAATATTTTTCTGTAATTTAGTTTATTGTTATAATTAACTAAAAAATCATTAAAAAAATTGATTATATGTAATCAAATTTTTATTTTACATTTACAGTATATTAAATCAGTATTGTTATAGAGACCTTAAAGATAATACAAATATAATATTATATATAGTATTTATAATACAGTATACAATACAATAATAGTTTAATATAACTTATAAATACTGTTTTATCAACTTTTATTATATTCAAAAACAAACTTTTATAGTTTTTTCTACTTACTTTATTATATATTTTTATAGAATTTTTTTAATTATATTTTTTATTTTTTTATAAAATTTTAAAAATTATTAATTTATATATTAATTTAAGAATTTTTGTATTGTAATAATTTGTAATAACTAAGATTCTTTTTAATGATTATTTGGTTAACAATATCAAAAAATTAAATTATAAAAAAACACTCAAAGTAGGTTGTTTATTAACAAAACTAAAAATATATTAATATCAAAAAACAAAATAGAAAGCTTGACAGATTTGTACTTTAAGTTAAGTTTTTTTGATAAACTTTCTAATATGTTTTACAGATTGAATAAATAAATAAAAAATAAATATTAGATAAATAACAGAAAAAAAATCTGTCATTATTCTACCTTATATCTACTAAATAATAGTAGCATAACAGCAAAATAATAGTAAAATAACAAAAGATTTATTAATATAAATAATATAATAATAATATAATAGCAAAATAATAGAACAATTCTATTATTTTACTTTTAGTTAGAAAGACTAAAAGTAAAATAATAGAATTGTTCTATTATTTTGTTATTATGTTACTATTATATTATTTATATTAATAAATCTTTTGTTATTTTACTATTATTTTGCTATTATATTGCTATTATATTGCTATTATTTGATAAATATAGAGTAAAATAATAGAATTTTTTTCTGTTATTTATTTATTATTTACCTTTTATTTATTCATTTAATCTGTATTTAGCTTTTAAACTAAAATAATATTTTTTAAAAAAATAATTAAATAAAAACTTTAACTAAGACTATAAAAAAACTTAAAATAACTATTATATTACTATAAAACTTATATAAAAAACTATATATAAATTTGTTAACTTATTATTTTTTAGTAAAAAAAATTTATAAAAATAAATATTTAGTTTATTTCTTTAAAAGATTAATATATAAATTATTAAAATAGTTAATAGTATTTATTTTTTAAAATAAGATTGTATATAGTTAAATTTTTTTTTTTTGCTTTTACTAAGGCTGTTAGTTATTGGTAGCTATTGTCTTTATTGTAAATTCAATTATGATTACATAACTTGTATAAGGTGATCTCTATATTATACTAGCAGATAGTACAAGTTTTTGTATACTAAAGTGCTGTCTAATCTAACTTTGACCTTCTTGTCTATACATTCATTAAGCTATTATATATTTCAGAATACATTATCTGACTATAGGACTTTAGAAAGTTTCCTGCTAACTAACTACCTACATTTAATCTTTGCTAACAGAACTTATTCTTATAAAGTTCATCTAAACCTCAGTACTGACTTTATAGTATAACTTTAATACTTATAGTATACTCTTGCTTTTAACCTTAGACTCTTAATCTAAATAGCCTTAAAAGACTATAACCTATTTCTGGTACTCTAGAGTCTGCCTCTCAAGGTCCTTTTCCTCTAATTTAAAACTTCTAGTAGCCTGATTGGTAGTACTTCTCATCCAAGTTTCTTGTTTATCTAATTCCTTTTATATTAGTATTCATTTTTTAGATCTAGCCTTTATAGTAGTACTGTTGAAAATCTATGTTATCTCTTTACTTGGATCTTTTCAAGTAGGCTTTGGCTTTTCAGTTTTATAGATTTATATAACCATAAGAACTTATTTTGAATTTGCATTGCCTAATACTAGTTTGCATTCTTCTGTGTAATTTCAATATTGTACAAATGTCCTATAACCTGCTAGTTATACTAATGTGACTATAGTTATAAGTATCTTATCCTAATTGATCAAAAGAATACTATCACTATAATACTATTTATGTATATATAGAAGATTATTTAAATTTTCACTATCAGTAGGTTTTGAACTTACTACCTACCACTTGGAGGATTAACAACTTATTTACTTCACTAAGTTATCATACCTTTATAGTTAAAATTTAAAAGTTTTAAATATAGTTAATAAATAAATTTTTTTTTTTCCCCTTAAGCAGTCACAGTAGTACTTTATTAAACCATTTGTAGCTACATTTGTAAATACAGAATATCATTTAA